TGTCAGAACATAGTTTACAGAATTTTAGATAAAGAATTTTAAAACCCATTTTAAATAATAATACAAACTGTCAAACAATAACAATGTTGTCATGACATTACCTGTCACTGCCACGGCCTACCATATGATATTGTCTATGAGTAATTAGGCCTCTCACGGCCTAATTAGTGAGATTTAGTTTATACCTACCTATACGCATTTTGGACCATGTCAATGTCCGGTATGGCAAAATATATTACAACTAAATCTGGAAATCCTTATGTAATTGGAAAAGAGGCAGAAATGCCTGAAAGAGGTCTAACAATTACAAGATATCTTATTTTCTTAATAAGAAACCATCTTTTTGTTTTTTAATAGTATCTTATTGTTAGAGATGGACCCAACAAACCCTATATGACTATGCTCGAGAGGGAACGTTCTATCCAGATCTGTAAAAATATACAGGGTGTTCCATTTAAATTAACAAAGTTAACATCAGCGGCCATTCTGTTTGGATTTCATTTGTTTTTCAGCTATCATTTTCGAAAAATCCATAAAAGATCGTGCAACTTTTGTTTTTCACATTTTTTTATTTTAACTTGAAAAAAGTTAAAGGGGGGGTCAAAATATAATGAATCAGTCTGTACATAGGTAATTGATTAAATTTTTTAAAACGAATTTTGTAAATCTGATCTCGGACTCGTGATCAGTGATTCCGGAAACCCCCGTATACCAAATTTGGCGCGAATGTTATTTTTTGAAAATTTGGCCGGCCATCCTGGATCCACCATCTTGAATTTTGCAAAATTAACCTCAGGTCCGTGATCAGCGACCCCGAAAACCCCCGTAAACCGCGACTATGTTATTTTTTGAAAATTTGTGATATCCGACCTTAATTGATCCGTTTTTTTTTAGGTTAGAAAAAGAACCATCAATTCTGACCGCGGATTCACGTTCGGCGGGGTCTTCCTGTGATATGATAGCTCAATTCTAACACTGGATTTGTGATCAGCAGGCAAAAATACTACGGATAACATATGTCGCATGAAAAATACAGACAACTTTTTTTTGTGTGTGACTTGTTATTCTTCATCAAATTGATATATAATAAGTCAAAAAAATGGGAGTTGGGAAAGGCAATATTGTCAAAATAAAACAAATTAATCTTAGTAGGAAAATTGGCAAAGAGGAAATAAATTAACATAGAAGAAAAGATAAAAATAATTAAGAATTAATTAAGAATTATTAAAATGTGAGATTTAGCTGCAAAGTTGTTAAATACATATATTTACAATAATTATATAAATAACAGTTATTATAATCGATTTCCATTTATATTACCAATCGATTTTGCTTAACTGATGTTTTTTGCGAATATAGAATCTCTAGAACATAAATAAAATAATTCATAAAATAGTTAATAGAAATTTACAACCACAAATCTACCCTTTCCTGTAACTTTTAAGTAGTCAATATTTCTCCACTTTCCCTTATCTTGTTTAGAATATGTTTCAAATTGTAAAACTCAAAGAAAATAAGGTCATTTATAATTTTCATACGACTTACTTCCGGTCAACTATTCTTAGTAGTTTCATATTATTCAACTTCCTGCACATTTATAATGTAGCAAGTCGTATAATATAAAACTTAAAAATCTGCGAATTTAACACATCGATTATACACTTGTGAACAGTAAAAAGTTTCTAACATAAATTGCTTATTGCTATTATTATTATTACTCATTTTGCTCATCTTTTGTCTACTTTTTCATATAATTTGACGTCTATACAGGGTGTAACTAAATAAGTGTAAAACATTTAAGGGGGTGATTCCTCATCGAAAAAAAGATAGGATCTTTCATATAAAGAAACTTCATTGGAGCATCCCTTGTTAAGATACAGCCCCTTAAAGGGGGTACATAAAATTTGTTTAACAATTTTTTTCACAAGCACTAAACAAGTTACAATATTGAAATTAACCTGACATTTTCTACTACCAAAAAGACACTTAGCCAGTAATTTATTTGGTTTACCCCATGGTAGTAAGGGGTGGAAAACGCAACCCCTAAAATTTATTTCCAACGTAATTTTTTGTCTTATTATTTTTTTACCATTTAAAAAATTATTTCCGATAGCCTGTTTCATTCTAAAAAAAAATGTCTCTTGAATTTTTTGCCCAAATTAAACCAGTTCGCAGTAAAAAATTATTTTACGAACAACTACAGAGATACATCGTCATAAATGCGGACTGGATTTACTGTTATTTTGTAGTTACTACCTGCATTAAATGATTAAAGGGGAATAATCAAAACTAATTTAATAATAACAAAACATACAACATGTAGAAATCATAGTAAATGTTCAATATGTCTACCTTCAGACATTACGCATGCGTCTAGACGTCGGCGCATTGAGCCACGTATTCGCTCAAATATTCCTGGAGTCTCTCTAATTACCCTGCACGCATCGATAATGCGGTTTCTTAAGTCCTCTACATCGCGAACAGGAGTACGATAAACCAAATGCTGCAAATGGCCCCAAGTAGACAAATCCAGAGGATTGAGATCCGGGGATCGAGCGGGCCAATTCTGTGGTCCTCCTCGACCTATCCACTGATTTGCATATGTTTCAGTTAAATGCTGACGTGCTACTTGACTAAAATGGGCGGGAGCCCCATCATGCATAAAAACCATATCCCTTCTGACGCCCAAAGGAACTTCCTCCAGCAGTACGGGGGGATGCACTTTTCTTAAAAATTGAACGTATGCCTCACCATTTAATCGAGGAGGTAGAAAATGAGGCCCAATTAAATAATCCCCAATAACTCCGACCCACACCTTAAGAGAAAACTGTTCTTGATGGTTAGTTTCGACAATAGCGTGATGGTTTTCATCAGCCCATATGTGGTAATTATGAAAATTAATAATCTTGTCCCGAGAAAAACTACATTCGTCTGTGAATTCGATCGTCTTCAGAAAGTCACGATTTCTTCTAATCATTTCCAGCATCCAATTGCAAAATTCAAGACGGTTCGGAAAGTCTCGCGGTAACAGTGCCTGTACTCGTTGCAGATGGTAAGGGTATAAGAGATGTTCCTTTAAAATTCGAAATACCGTCATATGATCAACATTTAGCTGGAAAGCAATCTTTCTAGTACTGGTAGTAGGTTGTTCTTCTATCAAATTAAGTACTGCTGCCTCAAGCTGTGGTGTTCTTACTTCTCGATGGCGACCACAATCCTGCGTTCTTTTGTTGAATGAACCATATTCACGTAATCGTTGATGAAGTCAGACAAATATTCTATGTGAAGGATGCTGCCGTTGAGGATACATTTCAGCATATCTTGTAGAAGCTTCTAACCCATTCCCCTGCGACAGACCGTAAACGTAATGCATATCAGCCATTTCCTCATTTGTGTATGCCATTTTAATAACAAGTGAATTATTAAAGTAACAAATTAAGAACAGAACAATACACAATTAGTATTACTTCAATTTCAAAAATTTACAAACTGACAGCTTGATTCCAATTTAATTGTCAGTATCGCTAATGGCGGCCTACTAGATAAATTAGTTTCGTATTTTCGTTTTATGGCGATATGTATCTTGTTCGTAAAATAATTTTTTGCTGCGAACTGGTTTAATTTGGGCAAAAAATTCAAGAGACATTTTTTTTTAGAATGAAACAGGCTATCGGAAATAAATTTTTAAATGGTAAAAAAATAATAAGACAAAAAATTACGTTGGAAATAAATTTTAGGGGTTGCGTTTTCCACCCCTTACAACCATGGGGTAAACCAAATAAATTACTGGCTAAGTGTCTTTTTGGTAGTAGAAAATGTCAGGTTAATTTCAATATTGTAACTTGTTTAGTGCTTGTGAAAAAAATTGTTAAACAAATTTTATGTACCCCCTTTAAGGGGCTGTATCTTAACAAGGGATGCTCCAATGAAGTTTCTTTATATGAAAGATCCTATCTTTTTTTCGATGAGGAATCACCCCCTTAAATGTTTTACACTTATTTAGTTACACCCTGTATAAAATTTATAATACTAAAAAACACACGGAGACTTGTTTGATCGGAAATCAAAGTGGAGCAGAATTTTTACGATTTTAAACAAGTTCAAAAAATGTATCAGGTTGAAAATAATATGGAGCATACAGAATCGGAAACAAAACATTAAAGCAGCGATGACAGATATCTGGCACAACAAACAATGGTATTATCTTTTAAAAGTTCATTGAATTTTGTCAATTTTTCTGATACTGATAGAATTACAATATTATTTATTCAAATATTATTAATGCATAATGCTGATGACATATGGGGTTGTTGGCTATAACTCTTTTAATTTTTCTAATTTTGTGATTGACAAATACATATATTTTAGACACTAATTATCATTTTATTTTTTTTATTTTAAAGCTAAGTCGATATTCTTCGTACCAAAAATCTATTTATGCAAAAATTTCTAACCTCATAAACAAGAACTGAAGAACTGAACCTATTATTCTAATATTTGCCCTATTACCATATCTACGACACTGTCTACATGTTGAGAACCGAAGATATAAAAAATTAAGTCACAGAATTTTATGCAAAAAGACTTAAAAATTAAAAAACATTCCGAAAATCCTTTTTGATTCCCCTTCAAAAAAAAAATGATGGTTCACGAAAACTACAACATTCTATCTCCTATAATAGTCGCGATATCGTAGCATGTCATCGAAAACGGGATGCATTGTACGCTGGAATATACACAGCGGATGCTTATTCGACAGCGACGTATTATTTGAGCAAAACGAATAGGGAAGACACAATTTATTATCTGGAAGGTCAAGTTTAACAAACAGACAATTTTACTGATTGCGGATCATTAAGAGAACACATTTGGGATGAAGATGGAATTATATTTATTCGCAAGTACGTGTATCGTATGCGAACCAGAACTCTGTGGTGGTAGAAAATAGTCTGGTGCGTTAAGAAAGCCGCTAAGCTAACTCAGAATTGCTGTGGCGTCGAAGCAAGCGAGTTGAGGCAGACCGCCTACATCTGAAGCTAACCAGCCCTTAAGGACGGTCAGGCGCATAGTAGTGTGGGAACTGAGTTCATTCATAGACTGGCCCGCATCTTTCAAAATAAGGCCTTGCCCAAAGATTAAGTGTTGTGTTGTGTTCCAAACATCAGTGATTTTTGTGATCGCCGAAAAAGGACTACTAGTATATCATTAATGCGATATAATCTCAAGATAGGTAACGTACATATTTTTTTTTTTTTTAGAAGAAATTCGTAGTGACCGTGTTACAACGCTGTTTCGAACACGTTTCGACACAGCGTTCGACTATTTTGCGAGTTGGATTTATTTTTGGACTGGCGTGGATTATTTTATGAACAGCATAATGAAAACGATGCCTTGCCAGATATCCCACTTTATTAGATCAATAACATTTGCTGAACATTATTTTGTGTATATAACATGCGGATTTTTCAACAAATTTTTGTTCCCCGCTAAAATTTTATGAACTGCGATTTGTTATTATTTGGAATTACACGTGTAAATATTTACTTTAGTGTTTAGTCATTTTAGGCAAATAAAGTAACTAGATTTCATCCTTGAGGAAACCCCTTTTGGGAGCTCGCCCAATGTTCATAATCCTGGCGGAAATGGGCATAACACTAACAAAGTAAAAATAATAAATTAAAGAATTAAAGGCTCTGCGCTAATAAACATTTTATCTAGCGGTTTGTTTATACGTTTCGGTGTTAAAAATAATCAGAAAACAGCGTGCTGTCTGATAATTTTACAGGTATAAGGCTGTCTTATGTTCAGGGTCATAATATGTGGGTATAGGGTGTTTTAAAATAGAATTTCTCAAGGAAAAAGTAAAAGTTTCTCCATAGTTTTACTCGACGTTTTCATCAATCAAACGCGGGATGGATATTTATTTCTGAAACACGGCCTTTTAAGAAACAAAACGCAAAAGGTTGAAAACTTTGTCTTCATATGACATCCTCATTTTGAAAATGTTGTTAAACATAAATAAGTATAATTAGCATACACGTTAGAATATTCTTTCAACGTATTTCCTGGCTAGTACAAAGAACAGTGACGTCGATGAATCTACAATTTATTTAATAATGGTACCAGATTGTTAACAAAAAAAGAGTTAAATATATTTATAAATCGAGATTTCATTTGGTACCAAATCTGCAAGTAATTTGGCAGAGAAAACAAAAGAGCATTCTACTTCAAAAGAAGAATGGTGTAAGTTGCTAGACACTTACATGTTTAGATATTGCCTCAAGTTATTTATTTGTGGCGCAACTTGTGTTTTTTCCTTATTTAATCGGTTTTTTTTTGCGAAAAGATAGAAAAAAATTAATTGATCCAAAAGTTTGAAAGACGAAAACGAATAGATTTTCGAAAGGTTAACAACTTTTTAAAATGCGCGATATACAGGGTGTCCCGCATAAGAACCGACACAAGGCAGGTGCATGTAGGGGTGTCCAAAATATTGTAATCTAACCAAACTTACCTATATACAAAGTTGGACCCCTGAGGAGTTATTAGCCCTCAAAGTGGGGCCCTAAATTTCGAAAAAAATTAATATCTTTGCAACACTTTACCGTAGAAGAACCAAATTTGGTACATGATTTAAGTTTATTACTGGTCTTCTTTGACTATGATTTAAAGTTAATTGAAGCACTACAAGGTGTTAATTCATTTGACTCACCCCTAAAATTGTCCGAACTTTTTTTTCATTGACCGAATTGAAAAATAATAATATTAATTCATAGCAGAATTTAATTTAATTTTTTTTTTACTCTTGTTAAATTTAAAAAAACTGTATGTTTTTCAAGAAAAACCGTATCAACTGACACAAGATTTTAACAGTCTTCATTAGAAAATTATCGAAAAGTCAGTAGTAGGCTTTATCTCTCAAATTTGACAATTGGCCAAATAAATTTTACTACACTTCTTTCCTAATTCTGCAAAAAGAAAGCAAGTACCTAGGTAGGTAGTTTTTAAATATTGTATTAAGTGAAAAACACAAATAAATAATAAAAATAATAATTGATATTTTTCAAACAATCAGAGGCAATTGTGGAAATAAAATAATTTTATTATTAACTGACAAGTTTGAAAGATAAATTCATGGCTTACTACTGACTTTTCGATTATTTTCTAATAAACTCTGTTAAAATCTTGTTTCAGTTAATACGGTTTTTTATGAAAACCATAGAGTTTTTTAAAATTTAACGGGAGTAAAAAAATTCTGCAGTGAATTAATATTATTATTTTTCAATTCGGTCAATGAAAAAAAAATTCGATACAATTTTAGGGGTGAGTAATCCCCAATGAACACCTTGTAGTGCTTCAATTAACTTTAAATCATAGTCAAAGAAGACCAGTAATAAACCTAAATCATGTACCAAATTTGGTTCTTCTGCGGTAAAGTGTTCAGAGATATTAATGTTTTTCGAAATTTAGGGTCCCATTTTGGGGGCTAATAACTCCTCAGGCGTGCAACTTTGTATATAGGTAAGTTTGGTTAAATATTATATTTTGGACATCCCTACATGCACCTGCTCTGTGTAGGGCCACCGCCAGAAAAAAATGTAGGGGGGTCAAAAAGTTTAAAGTCAATTTACTAGTCTAGAATTAGTTTTGGATTAATACGTTGGTATCACTGATAGAATATTAATCTTTAGTTGTTTTCTATTATTCTATGTTCTATGGTTCTGTTGCTAATGTATGCGTGTGTATCAAAATGGAGCTTGTCTAATGGTCGCTCATGTTTTGTGTTTATTACAAATAAAACAATTACAAAAGTATACTCCAGTTTTATTAGAAGGAAAACCAACAGAACCGAAATAAAAACAACAAAAAACAACACAACTTTAATTTCTAAATAATAATAATACACAAAAATTCAGAGTCAAAGTAAACGCAGGCTAGGAAACTGGCGCTGGCCGCTTTTTAACGCCCGCGGATATTGGCTTTGTGGGAGTTTTCGCACAACGCGTTTTTGCATTACACTCAAATTACATTGTTTTATTTTATCGTTTTAAGTTAATGTGAAATTTTAAATTTCTAGGCGGTATTATAAAATTTAAGAAATTAGACGAAAATTGTTTTTTAAAAATCCAGGGGGGGGGGTCGACGGGCCCCCCCTGAACCCCCCCCTGCCGGCGGCCCTAGCTCTGTGTCGGTTCTTATGCGGGACACTCTGTATAGTGTGTATTTGTTAGCTTTTTCAGTGTGAGATCTTTGGTTAGGCAAAACTATTTTCACAAAAAAAATTTATGCACAATGTTATAATTTTTATATTTATAATTCTATTTTCTTACGGCAACGCTGATAAATTCAGTAACAGACTTGATTGAACCAGTCAGTATGTTTCTCTATATATCGTTCTATATCTTTAGATCGGGAAGAGATATCGAAAATTTTTCTTATTAAAAGTTGTTGAAAAAGATGGGACCTTTCGAAAAACATCATCAACAAAAACAACATGCAGCAAAAACATATTTTAGCTTTCTACAGCTTTCAGTACTCTAAAATAATAAATTCATCTAAATATTTGGGAGAAAAAAGAATGTGTTTTAAAATTACAAAACCCATTCCCAAAGCTATACTCTCACATATAAAAAAACCTGTGATGTGCCTACCCTTGTAATATGCAGCCCGTTTTTTGAACTCGACGCAGCATCTCTTTTTTTTTGTGGACTTCGCCATTGGCCAATCTTTTTAGTTATATCCCGTATTTAAGGGCAAAAATGTAATTTAGACCTAAGATAGTCACGTAGAAGACTGATTTGTGAATTACGTGGCTTGAGATAATTAAAAATATGTAATTATATAATAATTTAACAATTTAAATTCCTTAAAATTCAATTCACTAAATTACAACGACCTTAGTAAACGTTCATTGATTTTGTTAGATCTCTGGGTGATTAAAAATGAGACATTACTCTCCGAAACTAGCAACAAATAAAGGACTTTAAAACTACCGAGTATAAAATATATTGTGTTTGCATTTGTTAAGTGCTTTTTTTCTGGAACCAATAAATTAATGCACTGAAATGATTTATTTACATACTCTTGTGCGGCTAACAACGCACTTTGTAATTTTCTCAGAGATGTTCGTCATCTCTGGAAATAACTTATTAATTAGGTCACAGAAAAAGTAGCCTGCGTGTATGAGTCTCAGATTATAATACGTCCCTAGAGGGCTACTACGTTTTTTTTATAATTTATTTAAAAGGTACAATAGGGGAGCAGTGTTAAAGGAACGTCTGAAGTTATAAAATTCGTTTCGCCGTTCGTGAGGCTCATCAGTCATTAAATATACCCTTCGTAATTTGTTCTCGTACGGCCCTCGGATTTTATTTCTGGCAAGTAAAATATTTTTAGAATTATGGCTTTAAGTAAGCTGTTTTTTAGTACAAACTACTTTAATTCTCGTAAATAACGTAATATTTTTAGGTAGCATTAAAATGGGCGCAGGGATTAACATACCAAAAGCACTAAAGTGTATTTTTTAATTCCTACTGCGAAGTAACCTGTGATATTAAATGGCATTTTAATTTTGTGTATTCTGACATGCAATAATTGCGACGGTAACATTTAAATTACATTTATACTTATTCGTTTATTTTTCTATTTAATCCCCGAGACATTATTTAATTAATTAATAAAACAAATATAAATAAAAATCAAAGCAGAACTTTTCGGGCCGCTTTTTGTATCAAATGGAAGAAATCTCCATATTCAAAAGTTAGGGTAAAATGTAACCACAAATTTAGAAGTAATATCCAGTTTGAAATTTCATTAATTTATCTTCATAAACCCTAATTTCGGAACATCCTGTATATTACTGATTGATTTCACTTTTTCTTAAAAATCTCGGAGAGTCCAGATGTGAAATTATGAGGATTGTCAAATAAACTGTTTCCTTTAAAAGTAAATTTCTTGCTAATAAACGATTGCCCCTATAGGCTGTTGATTATACATATAAAAAAACACAGGGTTAAAAGGAACTATAACGTTCAAGCAATTTCATTGCTTGAAACGTTCAAATGGTCATTTTAGATGAAGAAACCGCGGAGTGCTATTAAATTAGAGGGTGGAAATTGGAGATAGGGGTGAAAATGGACCCCTTTCAGTTTTTTAATTGTAGCTCGAAAATGAAGCAAAATTTCGCTATAGTTCATAGGAAAAATTATTTAGAGAATTGAATTTCCCATC